CTGAATGTGACAGAGACAATGAATCCAAGCTGGAAAACACTCTTCAGGTTATTATCCAGAAAAACTTCTCCAACCTATCAAGCCAGGCCAACATTAAGGTGAGGAAATACAGAGAATGCCACAAAGATATGCCTCAAGAAGAGCAACCCCAAGGCACATAATCGTCAGGGTTGAAATGAAGGAAAAATGCTAAGAGCATCCAGAGAGAAAAGTTGGGTTACCCACAAAGTGAAGCTCATCAGATTCACAGTCGATCTCTTGGCAGAAACCCTACAAGCCAGAAGAGAGTGGGGGCCAGTATTCAAAATCCTTAAAGAAAAGGACTTTGAACCTAGAATTTCATATCTAGCCAAACTAAGCTTCATAAGTGAAGGAGAAATAGAATCCTTTATAAACAAGCAATGGCTGAGAGATTTCCTCACCACCAGGTCTGCCTTACAAGAGCTCCTGAAAGAAGCACTAAACATAGAAAGGAACAACCAGTACCAACCACTCCAAAACGTACCAAATTGTAAAGAGCATCTACACAATGAAGAAAATGTGTGAACTAATGGGCAAAACATCCAGGTAGCATCAAAATGGCAGGATCAAATTCACACATAACAATATTAACCTTAAATATAAATGGGCTAAATGCCCCAATCAAAAGACACAGACTGGTAAATTAGATAAAAAGTCAAAACCCATTGGTGTGCTGTATCCAGGAAATCTATCTCACGTGCAAGGACACACATAGGCTCAAAATAAGGGGATGGAGGAAGATTTACCAAGTGAATGGAGAGCAAAAAAAAAGCAGGAGTCACAATCCTAGTCTCTGATAAAATAGACTCTTTAAACCAACAAAGATCAAAAGAGACAAAGAAGGGCATTACATAATGGTAAAAGGATCAATGCAACAAGAAGAGCTAACAATCCTAAATATATACGCACCCCATATAGGAGCACCCAGATACATAAAGCAAGTTCTTAATGACCTACAAAGAGATTAAGACTCCCACACAATAATAGTGGGAGACTTTAACACTCCACTGTCAGTATCAGACAGATCAACAAGATACAAAATTAACAAGGATATCTAGGACTTGAACTCAGATCTGGACCAAGCAAACCTAATAGACATCTATAGAACTCTCCACCCCAAATCCACAGAATATACATTCTTCTCAGCACCACATTGCACCTACTCTAAAACTGACCACATAATTGGAAGTAAATCACTCCTCAGCAAATTCAAAAGAATGGAAATCATAACAGTCTCTCAGACCACAGTGCAATCAAAATAGAACTCTGGATTGAGAAACTAACTCAGAACCACACAACTTCATGGAAACTGAACAACTGGCTCTTGAATGTTGACTGGATAAACAATGAAATGAAGGCAGAAATAAAGATGTTTCTCAAAACGAACAAGAATGAAGACACAACGTACCAGAAACTCTGGGACACATTTAAAGCAGTGTCTAGAGGAAAATTTATAGCAATAAATACCCACTTGAGAAGCAAGGAGAGATCTAAAATCGACACACTGACATGAAAATTGAAAGAGTTAGAGGAGTAAGACCAAAAAAACTCAAAAGCTAGCAGAAGACAAGAAATAACTAAGATCAGAGCAGAACTGAAGGAGATGGAGACATAAAACACCCTTCAAAAACTCAATAAATCCAGGAGCTCAGCTTTTGAAAAGATCAACAAAACTGACCACTAGCCAGAATAAAAGAGAAAAGAATCAAATAGATGCAATAAAAAATGATAAAGGGGATATCACCACAGATTACACAGAAATAAAAACTACCTTCAGAGATTACTACAAACAACTCTAAGCAGATGAACCAGTAAACCTGGAAGAAATGGATAAATTCCTGGACACTTCCATCCTCACAAGCCTAAAACAGGAAGAAGTCAAACCCTGAATAGACCAATAACAAGGGCTGAAGTTGAGGCAGCAATTAATAGCTTAACAACCAAAAAAAGCCTAGGTCCAGATGGGTTCACAGCTGAATTCTACCAGACATACAAAAAGGAGCTGGTACCACTTCTTCTGAAACTATTTCAAACAATCCAAAAAGAGGGAACTCTTCCCAAATCATTTTATGAGACCAACATCATCCTCATACCAAAACACAGCAGATACTCAACAGAAAAAGAAAACTTCAGGCCAATATCCATGATGAACATCAACACAAAAATCTTCAATAAAATACTGGCAAGCCGATTGCAACAGCACATCAAAAAGCTTTTCCATCATGAACAAGTAGGCTTCATCCAGGGGATGCAAGGCTGGTTCAACATACACAAGTCTGTAAATGTTATCTACCACATAAACAGAACCAAAGACAAAAATCACATGATTATCTCAATAGATGCAGAGAATGCCTTTGTCAAAATTCAACAGCCTTTTATGCTAAAAACTCTTAATAAACTAGATATTGACAGAAGATATCTCAAAATAATAAAAGCTATTCATGACAAACCCACAGCAAATATCATACTGAATGGGCAAAAACTGAAGCATTCCCTTTGAAATCTGGCACTAGACAAGGATGTCCTCTCTCACCACTCCTATTCAATATAGTATTAGAAGTTCTAGCCAGAGCAATCAGACAAGAAAAAGAAATTAAGGGTATTCCATTAGGAAATGAGGAAGTCAAATTATCTCTATTTGCAGACAACATGATTGTATATCTAGAAGACCCCATTGTCCCAGCCCCAAATCTCCTGAAACTGATAAGCAACTTCAGCAAAGTCTCAGGATACAAAATCAATGTACAAAAATCACAAGCATTCCTACCAATAACAGACTTAAAGAGAGCCAAATCAAGAACAAACGGCATTCACAATTGCTACAAAGAGAATAAAATACCTAGGAATACAACTAACAAAGAATGCAAAGGACCTCTTCAAGGAGAACTACAAACCACTGCTCAAGGAAATAAGAGAGGACACAAACAGATGGAGAAACATTCCATGTTAATGGTTAGGAAGAATCAATATCGTGAAGATGGCCATACTGCTCAAAGTAATCTACAGATTCAATGCTATCCCCATCAAGCTACCTATGACCCTCTTCGCAGAAGCGAAGAAACCACCTTAAGCTTCATACAGAACCAAAAGAGAGCCCACATAGCCAGGTATAACCCAAGTACCTGACTTCAAACTACTACAAGGCTACAGTAATCAAAACAGCATGGTACTGGTACCAAAACAGGGATATTGACCAATGGAACAGAACAGAGACCTCGGAAGCAATGTTACACATTTACAGCCATCTGATCTTTGACAAACCTGACAAAAACAAGCAAAGGGGAAAGGATTCCCTGTTTAATAAATGGTGTTGGGAAAACTGGCTAGCCATGTGCAGAAAGCAGAAACTGGACCCCTTCCTGACACCTTACACTAAAATCATCTCCAGAAGGATTAAAGATTTAAACATAAGACCTAACACCATAAAAAGACTAGAAGAAACCCTAGGCAAAACCATTCAGGACATAGGCATAGGCAAGGACTTCATGACTAAAACACCAAAAGCAATGGCAACAAAAGCCAAAATAGACAAATGGGACCTAATTAAACTCCAGAGCTTCTGCACAGCAAAAGAAAGTCATTAGAGTCAATCAGCAACCAACAGAATGGGAAAATTTTTTTGTAATCTACCCATCTGACAAAGGACTAATATCCAGAATCTACAAAGAACTAAAATAGTTTTACAAGAAAAAAAAAAAACAAGCCCATTCAAAAGTGGGCGAAGGATATGAACAGATACTTTTCAAAAGAAGACATATATGAGGCCAACAAACATATGAAAAAATGCTCATCATTACTGGTCATTAGAGAAATGCAAATCAAAACTACATTGAGATACCATCTCATGCCAATTAGAATGGTGATCATTAAAAAATCTGGAGACAACAGATGCTGGAGAGGATGTGGAGAAACAGGAACACTTTTACACTGTTGGTGGGAGTGTCAATTAGTTCAACCATTGTGAAGACAGTGTGGTGATTCCTCAAGGACCTAGAAATAGAAATTCCATTTGATCCAGCAATCCCATTACTGCGCATATATCTAAAGGATTATAAATCATTCTGTTATAAGGACACATGCACATGTATGTTCAGTGCAGCACTGTTTACAATAGCAAAGACTTGGAACCAACCCAAATGACCACTGATGATAGACTGGACAGGGAAAATGTGGCACATATACATCATGGAATACTATACAGCCATAAAAAACGATGAGTTTGTGTCCTTTGTAGGGACATGGATGAACCTGGAAACGATCATTCTTAGCAAACTGACACAAGAACAGAAAATCAAACACTGCATCTTCTCACTCAGAGGCAGGTGTCGAACAATTAGAACACATGGACACAGGGAGGGGAGCATCACACACTGAGGTCTGTGGGGTTGAGCTAGGGGAGGGACAGCATGGGGTGGGAAGTTGCGGAGGGGTAACACGGAAAGAAATGACAGATATAGGTGATGAGGAGGAAGGCAGCAAACTACATTGCCATGTATGTACCTATGTAACAGTCCTGCATGTTCTTCACATGTACCCCAAAACCTAGAACACGATAAAATTTTTTTTTTAAAAAGCATACTATTTCTACTGATTCAAGTATCATAAAAGATACTAAACTCTCAAAAATGTATTACTTTTAGATCATCCATACCTTGAGGGTTGATGTTATTTTCAAATAACAAAAGTATTACAATAGTCACTCAGAAATCTGAGATTAGCCCATCTTTACGCAGTAAATCTGAAAACAGCTTGAAACAAAATTATCTTTGACTTCCACAGCCCAATAACGTCAGTAAACTAACTTTCAAAAGTATAGGAATTAAATTTATACCGCAATGTAGGAATCATTTTCAGAGAATGCAGTGAAGCTTGGTGAGGAAAGGGGAGTTTAGGAGCAGTGAATTCTACAGACTATGCAGATGACTGGTGGGAAAACTATTTGAGGTGCCCTTCTAAGAGAGGGTAAAGTCTGAGGAGACCTTATTTCAGGAATTTCAAAAAGTGAAGATCTGTCTTCATCTTCAAAGGAGCCTGAAGTTACTTCGCTTTCCGATGGGATAAAGCAATCAGAATTTTTATAAGATGAAGAAATTCCAGCTTTATGGAGGAATGACAAAGTTCCACTTTGAGAGGGATGCTGTTGAATCATGACTGGAGAATGATCTTTGCTGTACCTTTCAGAACCAGGAAGAAGGAAATCTTTTGAATTGTTACTTAATTGGCCTCTTTGTTGAATATCAGTGGCAATTCCATTTTGTTGATCAGGACGGTAAATATCACTTGCAAGAGAAAAGGATGATGCACTTTGTTGATAGGAGGCTCTATCAATACTGTTCCGAAAGGCTGGAGAAGTGGCGTTTATTTCAAAATTCTTACAATTTTTAGTGCTATATTCAGGAGCAGAGATGGTTATATGTTTTTGAGCATCATTATTACTTGGGGTTTTAAAAAAGATTTTGATTTCATTTAGATTAAACACACTCTGGCCACTTGCTTGAGGATTAAAAAAAATCGCACTCTTGTAACAGGGAACTATACTTAGTTTATGGGACATAAGGCTACTAAAACGGTCTGAGGCAGATTTTAAATCAGTGAAGCTTGTGTCTTCTTCACAATCAAAGTTAGCTCTACTTTGCTGCCAGTAAGGGGAAGCATTTCCTTTCTGAAATCTAGCGAATAAAGAACATCTTCTTTCAGAGAAAGGTGGACTTGATAGAGACGATAACCTTCTACTTGCTTTGGCTGAATTGACTTTATGTGTCACAGGGGAATAAGATGTTTTATGACCGAGAGATACATTTGGCTGTAAAACAGAAGAAGCTCCATGATGCTGGGCATCTGTAGTAACTTGATCTTCTGGACAACATCGTTGGAAGCGCTGGTCCTCTTTGCAGTAGCTAGAGTGAGAAAAGGGTCAAATGAGGAAAAAAAATAGGGAGCAGAGTGGAGACCTGCCAAGCCTCCTAAAGACTAATATCCACCTTTTGGTGGCCACCAATTGGTGTTGTTTCCATATCAATATGGAAACAGCAGGGAATAAGAAGAATAGGGGAGCTAAAGTTAATAGTCACAGAGTTACCCACAAAAACGCATAAGTCTAAACGGTTATCTCTACCTATGCAGTTCCTACTCACACTATTAAACCTTAGGAAGAGAAGTTGAAGAAATCAGGGAAGCAGGTAGCAAGAAAGATCAGGGGAAACATATGCAAGATTCCCAAAGGAAAAGAAAGAACTGGTTTTAAAGGTAATAAACCAGAATATCTGTTTGAGACTACTAAACTACTGTATTTAAAGGAGTTAAGGAGAGTAAACTTACACTCTGTTGACTCACTGTATTTTAAAATATTAACCATGGATGAAGCAGAATCTCTCTGGGGAGAATGTTTTAAGTGAATATCCAGATAGCCCAGTATATCTAGTTACCACGGAAAACTAAAGGAAGCACTAAAGCTTGGTTTATGAATATTTTCATGTGTTTTTAGCACATGTTAAAGTTTTTTTTTCTAAGGCTTACCTTAAGCATTTTCCCATTTTGAATTTAATCCAAAGTAAGTCTCTCTCTTCCCTTCTAGGCCATCATCCTTAAGCCATAAAATGCCCTGTGTAGGTGGAACAGGTCAGAAGACTGAATGCTCAAACTGCATATGGAATTAACATGGCAACAACGTATGAGTGTGACAACAGAGACTCTAGAATCTCATGACGTCAGTTTAGAATAGAATTGTTCTGTAGCTCACCTTTCTCAAAAGTTAGAATTCACAGGGCTGTGGAATGTGTTTTACCTTCACTGTTCGAGGAATCAGCCAACAAATCCAGGGGTGGGAAAACAGCTGGATGAGGACAATAACATATATGACACCTGTACAATCCTTAATTTGGACCATCTCTCTCACCAGCTGCCCTCCACACCCCTGTCCTACTAACTCATTCTTCTTTCACTTGAATATTCTTTACACCAGATTTTTGCAGCCTCCAGTGATACGGAAAAGCAACTGTTACAGACTTTGGTCTAAAGGTACATTGAGAAGGGAAAAAAAGTTTAATAAGTAGGAAATGTCACTGTTCCCACAAATGAAACAAGACTCATCCACGCTGGCAATAAAGTATGCCATCTGACTGACTGCCTGGGCCATTTGCACAGATCATGGGGATATGCTGTGCCACTATTTAGCACTCCTCAGAACAACTGATACTCATCTAAACACTAGGTTAACAGAGTTATTAGAAAAGAAACACTGCGCCGGGCGCAGTGGCTCACACCTGTAATCCCAGCACTTTGGGAGGCTGAGGCGGGTGGATCATGAGGTGAAGAGATCAAGACCATCCTGGCCAACATAGTGAAATCCCGTCTCTACTAAACATATATATTAAAAAATTGCCGGGCGCGGTGGCTCATGCCTGTAATCCCAGCACTTTGGGGGCCAAGGTGGGTAGATCACCAGGTCAAGAGATCGAGACCATCCTGGTCAACAAGGTGAAACCCCGTCTCTACTAACAATACAAAAAAATTAGCTGGGCATGGTGGCGCACGCCTGTAATCCCAGCTACTCGGGAGGCTGAGGCAGAAGAATTGCCTGAACCCAGGAGGTGGAGGTTGCAGTGAGCCGTGATCGCGCCACTGCACTACAGCCTGGCGCCTGGCGCCAAAACGAGATTCTGTCTCAAAAAAAAAAAAAAAAAAAAGAAAAGAAACACTATCCTTTCTTATCCAATTCAATTTGGGCTATTGTCCCCATAATAGGTATATGTGTATGTGTATAGCTACCTATGACATGAACACCATCTCAAATACTTTTATTTACTGTGCAATCTCCTGATCCTAAATATTACTACCACCTCTAGCCTTTGCATCCTTCCTAACACCCTACTGCAGGAAATTCTTGGACAAATTCCTTTTAAGAGACCCAAAGCTCTCTAATGTTCACCGTATGATGGTTGGATTTGTGATTTGATTTTACTCTATGTAAAAGCTAATAAATTAAGCTCTTACTGGTTCATGGATGTTGGCAGAAGACATGAGATTACTGGGTTAGAGACAGAAGACAGAAGACTTATGTTACTTACGACACAGCAAAGCAGCATTATCATGAGGACATTTACATTGGTTCTGCTTTGTTGCACATTGCCACAGGGGCAATGCAGAGGACTCAAGAGACTTGCATTTACAGTGGATTGTGTCACGGAAAAGAACACTGAGCTTAGATGATCTACCACTTCTGCAGCAAGCAGTAAGCAAATCTGCTAAACCTGGTCTCGGTTCTGAAGGGAAACAGTAACTCATTCTTCAAGGTTGCTCACCATGACCCTGAAAAATGGCCCACATAAAGAGTGATCAGGGCCTTACATGCTTGGCTCATGTAACAAGATGTCTGGGAGCACAAGAAGCCCAAAGAGGACTGTTTGTCTCTGTAACAATCTATTACATTTTCCCTCTCTTGTGAGATTACTTACTGTCTTTTGTTCCTGAGTCACACTAAGATCTGATTATCATTTTCCAAAAGGATCTCTTTTGCACTTTGCCAGAACAGAATATGTAATGCTTATAAAGTTCCTATAAGAAATTTTTCTTTGCAAAATTGGGCCAGCTTGTTGTTTAACACTGCCACCAATGGCCTCTAAAAGCAGCATTTGCTCACCGAGCTACCCCAAAGGAAATAATTATTTATGACTACATCTAAAAACTGTCAGTCATTGCTACTCAGTGGAGGTAGTAAAGAGGTCAGATCACTCCCCTGACTCTATTCAAGCAAATCTACGATTATCCAGACATAAAAGAAGGGGTTTGGGTGTGTGTGCATTTGGGGGATGAGGAAGAAGATCCAGATCTGCTCAGATATTAGAAAATAAATCTCATACCAGTACAGGTAATATCTAGAAGCTGTTTAATATTGTTCTAGATAAGAACTTATCTAACTCTCTAACTGTCCTCAGATTGCCTCCTTTTGGCTTATTCTTAAGAGAACCAAAATTAGACTCAGCCCAAAAGCAAATAGTAACCCCTTATAATAACAAGCATCTAAAACATGTTCTTCCATCAATTCATTCCCAGTTCTCTTTTATCGTGCCCTATGGCCACCCAACCATCCTCCTTTTCTACTACAGCCACTCTATTCTCACCAAGGTCAACAGTCCATCATTATACTCACTATACCCAGTGAAACTTTTGTTTATCTGTAACCATAATTGCCAATCATTAAAACCACAATTTCATCATGATCACTCAGGTGGATGTTAGAAACTCTTCTAGAACAAAGTTTCTCAAACATTAGGGAGTGTAAGAGTCATCCAACAGAGCTTGTTAAGATGCAGATTCCTGAGCACTGCTCCCAGACATCCTGATTCACTATGTCTGGGATATGTCCTGAGAATATGCATTTCCCACACTCTCACAGTTTAGATGGGATGCTGATGTTGCTGGTCCACAGACCACCGTATGAGTAGCTCTGTTCCAGAACATATGGGTCATGACAATCCCGAGTTAAAACAGAAGCGCCTTCTGAGGTACCTCAGAGCAGCTGCCTATCTAAGCTGGAGTCTAGAAAAGACAGTGAATACTAGGACTGAATGTCCTCCAATAAAAATCTACTGGTTATTATATTTATGGATTTAATGCTAACAGGGACACTGATGAGGAAGACAACAAAATGTAGAGAAGAGATTACCCTTTTCCAAGCATACTTACTCCTTTACTAGAGAACAGCAATGCTAGCTTATATTGTCAGTTTCATGTTACCAGATATTATCTTGAGCTTAATCAGTTTCTCTAGAGTCTGCAAGTGATACTATTCTTTCTTTGACATGTTATCCCAATACCTGAGGTGTACTGCTGCTAAAAGGGTCAGGTGACACCACCTTGTTTCATAGGTTATTTCCTTTGCTCTGTTTTTGATATTTTTTAAAAAGGCCGCTTTCCTGCATTTTTACTCTTGCCCTCTGTATTGGCTTCTTCCCTGTGGCCCATAAATATGCTCAAGTATCTCTCAGGTGAAAACAAACACAAAAAATAAAACATAAAATATATGTTCTCTGAAACTGATACCCCTTCTTAATTATACATCCTCCTTCCATCTAAAGTCAAGTTCCTTGAAATAAGCGTCTGCCCTTCTGGTGTCCACATCTTTACCTCTCTTTCATTTGTCCAGGCCTAGATCAGGTTTCTATACTCATAATTACCCAGCAACTGATCCTGAGAGGCTTCTCAATAAATGACCTCCTAGGTCTCAAATCTGGCAAACACAGTTCAGTACCTATTTTACTTGACCAAACACATTAGAAGTGAAAGGCTACTGTTAAACGTATTTTTCTAGTTCAGGGGTTGGCAAACCATACCCTGGGGCCCAATATACCAACTACTTGTTTTTATAAATAAAGTTTTATTGGAATGCAGCCATACTCATATTGCCTATGGCTGCTTTCACACTACAATGGCAGAGTTAAATATTTGAGATGGAGGTTGTATGGTCCTCAGAGCCTAAAATTCTTTCTTTTTTTTTTTTTTTTTGAGATTGGCTTTTTAAAATTGTGTTTTCAATGAGAAGTACATCATCTGCTTACAAAATAACCCTTGAAAAATCCAGGGAGTACAGATACTATAAAACAAAGCAAACTCCAGTAATGAGACACTATAGATACCATGCATCAACAGTCTCAGTTGCAGGTTAAGAAAACTAAAATTTAAAAATCACTACACAGAAACGGTCCAAGTTTTCAGCGTGGCAAAACTTGGGTGTAGTTACACAAAACATTTAATAAACGGAATTGTTTTCCCCTATGCGTAAACAAAATGACAAGACTAAGTCTGTGCCTGGTGATTTCAATCTAACCCTGAAGCTGCACAAAATATGCAGACACCTTATATACTTCACCTGTTAGCATGACCATCTTTTTTTCTTAGGTGGTGGGGGGAAGGGCAAGGTGAATGTGCAGAGCAAAGATGTAGGGAGTAGAAATATTGCATACTAGACATTATAAAGTCACAGTGAAAAGAAAGCCTCAATTAATGCATACCCTAAGGGGGAAAAGACTATACTCCAACTTCAGAAAGTTAACTTAGAAGAATAAGGAGAGAGTTTAATTGCAGTTTAACATGAAAAATGTATATATAATAGAATGGAGCACAATGAATGATTTATGAAATATACAGCTTAAAATTCTGATAGAAAACGTTTGCCAACTCCTGTTCTAGTAGATTTAATACATTTGACCATTTCCTTCTAATTTATAAAGTAATTCATTATTTAAAATAGTTTATTTTAGACAGTGCAAAGCAACTTGATTATCTTAACTTTCATTATCATCTAAAACAACATGAGAAATGCATTATCAACCACATTTTAAGATAAATAAATTGAGGTTTGGAGAAGTAAAGTTACACAGCTAAAGGCTGAGTCAGGATTCATGCTTGGGTCAGAATGATTCTAAAACTTGTGGCTTTTACCACTATTCTGAAACTCTTGTCCTCTCTTGTTTCTGTGACACCTTTGTCCGCTGGTTCACTGCCCACTTCTTTGACCTTTCATCTCTCTTCTTTTGCAGGCTCATTCACCTCTGTCCGTTCTTCATTACTGGTTCCAGAAAGCTATATACTCCACTCTCTTCTCTTTTCCCATGCTATACATTGTGGTGATGCAATGGCATCTGTTCCCACAGCAGCCAGCTTCATAGTCATACCAGTGGGATGCCCAGAACGTGAACAACTTTCCAGGGAGAAATGCTTCTCAGCCTTTAGCAGTTCTTTCATCAGTAGCATGTAGATGGCTGCTCATGCTGGCAGTGGCTTCAGTCTCTTAGCAAGTCCTGTCCAGGAAGGTCTAGCATCTGGCTGCAGGACAGAAGGACGCTGGGCACTTATTGCTTTGTTCTTGGCTTTTAGGGTTCTAGTTTTAACTAGTTAAAAGACCAAGAGCATCACTCTTTAACATCCTGCTAGTTTTTTAAAATCTGTTTTACTTGCAAGACTTTGCTTTATTTCCTGCTACATCCCCCAGAGTCCAGACAGTGACTACTACAGAGTAGACACTCACATTGAATGAATGACAAGACTGTCATTTGTTACTGTCAACTTTTATTTTTTAAAAAGAAATTCATAGAAGAAATCTAAATGGCAAATGAATGATGAAAAGTTCAATCTCACTAATGTTCAGGGAAATTGAAAAATAATTAGTTACCATTTCATCTCCATCAGGATGGCTAAAATTAAAAAGTCTAACAATATAAGAATTTTTATGGGAAGATAAGAATTCTCATACACTGCTCATAGGATGGTAACTTGGTACACTTTAAGGAATAATTTAACAATATATAATAACAATATAGTCTATAAC